AAGTAAATACCATTTAAAAACTTTTTAAAAAAAAAAAAAAAAAAAAAAAAAAAAACTGATTCACATCTTTCTTTTTTCCAGCTTATGTTGCATTGTTTCAGAAAAAAGAGAGAAACAGATGCTGAAGGACAATACATACTAGATGCGGGTTATTGCAGTAATAACAAGGACAAGGATTGTCGTTTGAATTCTTTATTTTGTTTTATGTGCTTTAATCAGGTTTAACCTATCCCAGTAACGTGCATCTCAAGTAATAATCTATTTAAGACAACCCCTTATAATTTCATGAATGGTATATATTGGCTTAGGTTTATCATCAGACAGACAAGCTGATCTTAGGTTACTTAGTACGTGATCTGTCTGCTTTCAAGAATCGGGCTATCGAGTTTCAGATCCATCCGTGGCATGGCGGGTTTTAGTTTCATTTTAATTTCCGCTTCATATTTGAAAACAGATGAACCGTGTTTATGATCAGATCAGATGTGAATGGTTTTCACAAGGGAAAAAAAACAATTTGTACAACTATTGTGATCAGAGTATAGTATTTACATCGTATGTTCCAAAAAAAAAAGCCTAAGGAAAAAAAAATTATCGGATCCGGGAAGTGACGGTGAAGAAGAGAGATTCATCGCAGGGTATGGTCAGGCCGCCCATCGGATGATCAAACCCGAATTCTTCTTCGGATTTTCTGAGCAAGGCTTGGAAAGAAGGTTCGTTCAGGTATGAAACTGGCACCAAGTATCTCTTCTTCAGATTACGTCCAACGTACACTGCCATGAATCCTTTTGGAGTCGAAGACGAATCACTAACGGACCGGCGCATGATTTGCTTTGCCCCCATAAATCCTCTCAAGAACGCCATTTCGGTTTCTTGTATCTTACACGGCTAAGGAGATCTTCTTGTTCGCGTAGAAGCTCTTGTTGTTTTTCTGAAAACGTTTGGTTTTTGGTTTGAGAATCAAAACATATCAGGTATGTATATATATATATTGATGAAGATAAACTATGAAGTTGGTGGTGGCCTACAAACCAAAGCACATGGTTTTGGCTTGCAGATACCAAACCGGCAATGTTTTGGAGGCTGTAGTTTGCATGTTAAGCCGTTGTCCTACATGATGATGATGATGGATCGACCAACTTGCAGACAATGAAATATATATACATACATCCCTATGGGATATATGAAACTGTGACCTACAAGCTTGGACATGAATGAAATGAAAACCGTATGACTGTCTAGGAGATAATGGCGGTGGGACATTCGGGTGGTGCAGCATCTTCACGAGGGTTTGTTTTCTTGGTTTTGTACGATAGGACCACGGAAATTGAGATATGACATGTTATGGCAATCAAGAACATGATCTTATGATAACATGACAAAGGCCCACAGGCAGATGAAGAAAGAAGCTTGGCAACAGCTTCTGTGGCTGAAACTAAATGGTTTCACGTACCAACAGGCATACATGCATGTGGGCATGTCCGCATGAACTTTAGCCTAATTTCACGAAATATGGTGGTCAATTTTAGGTGGTGGTCATGCAAATTGTCCGTCAAGGCTTTAATGAGATGCTGAATTATCTCCATCAATTCTTAAATTCTTGATGGGATGACGATGGACAGGCCATGTGGGTCTCCATATTAGCCACACTTCTTCCATAAGCAAACTATCTATAAATACATGATACAGAATCCGTAGTCTTCACAACTTCTCTCACACTTTCACAAGAAGAAAAAAAGAAGAGTTAATCGTCAAATCTTCGTCTATCAAGGGAAACAGAGTGACAATTACACACACAAAAAAAAATCATGGCAATCAGGTTTCCTCGCATTCTGCAATCATCAAAGCAAATTCTCCGGCAGACGAAGCATATCGCAACGTCAAACTCGGTTGATGTTCCAAAGGGGTACTTTGCTGTGTATGTCGGAGAAGGCCAGAGGAAGAGATTTGTGGTTCCGGTCTCCTTCTTGAGACAGCCTTCGTTTCAAGATCTACTAAGGAAAGCTGAGGAAGAGTTTGGATTTGATCATCCAATGGGTGCACTCACCATTCCCTGCAGCGAAGAGATCTTTCTCCATCTCACCTCTCGCCTCAACTTCTGACGGATTCTCTTTTCTTTCGATTTTCTGATCATTTTTCTTCGAGAGAAGAGATGTTAGAAGAATCTCTCCTCGAAAGGGAAACCCGGAGCTCGGGTTTAATGATGTAACAGTTTTTCACTCACGTTTTCAGTGAGTTGTAAGATCTAAGATCCTAACCTTCGAAACATAATCAAACTCTAAAAAAAATGATGTCTTGACGTGAAATCTTATGCCCACATTCTATTCCAAACTCTTAAATAGGCTCAATCAACAATCACGAGAAGAGTTTTTTGAGTTGTAAAAACATGACTAGAAAAAAGAGGCAAGTAAAAGCTTCTTACAAAACCAGTGAGTGAATTAGCCATTCTCCGCTCTGTCATAAGCGTTGGATTTGTGCTTTGGTGCAAACGTGAATCCGTCTGGAACCTTCCCGAGCAGCATTTCGGATATCCGAATCTGCACGTATCATATGCATCAGAACCGACCGAGATCAAGTTTCCATGGAAAACCCTAATGAAGAGTAAGGGAAAAAGAGTACATACCCAATCAGCTGCAGAATCCGATGACATAAGAGTCTCAAGATCATCACGGCCGTAATAAGAAGGCGGCCGCCAGTTCAGACGCTGAGGGATAATGTCGAGAAGACCCACGGGGATATACCTACAAGTGTAGCTCAGCCATTCCAACAAGAAGTGCCTTGTTGTCTCCACCCCTGCTTAAACCCAAATTTACATATCCTAAGCATATGATGAAATTACCATCCAATAATACAAAGCATCAGAATTCTCGGCCACAAATGATGAGGAACGAGAAGATGTTTTCACCTTTCGTATCGGATCCCCAATGTTCAAGACCAAACCTTACAAAGTCCTTCAAAATGTTTAGCCTTTCCCCCGAGGTGATGTCCCAGTCCCTTTGTTCTTTGATTTCGGTAAATAACCAAGGCTGCCAAGTAAGTAAATGCCCACAGAGATTGTATATGTTATCGGATAATTCTGAGCGCAATACCGATAGCAAAATTCATTAGCAAAAACGTCGCTACAGGTGTTACAGTAACAATTTGCAACGCAGCATATCCCAAAGGGTGCAATTTTAAAACGATACATTGACAAGAGAGAAGATAATTGGCAGTCGGTCATACACACCTTGATCAGTGCTCCACGTGCAATCATGCAGCTAGAGAGCTCAGGACAATCAGACTTGTGTTTATTCCAGTCTAAATACGAAAATACGTCTCCATTCCCAATAACCTGAAGGTTACTAGGGGCTTTCTTGGCACATTGGTATACATAGTCCCAATCGGCAAGCTTACTGTAGCGTTGCTGCCGTGAGCGTCCATGGATTGTCACTGCAGTAGCTCCCCAGTTGCCGATATCCGCAATTAATGAATCTATCCGGCTCTTACCCTCAAAGAAACCTGTACGAACCTGGCACCCGGAAAAACAAAGAAGTAAAAGAGTGTATTAGAACTTTAATATATTCATTTTGCAAAAATACAACATACTGTCAGAACAATTAAGTGATTTTTGTTCGTGTGAAGGGTCAACCGAGTCTTTTTTTTCCTTTATTTTATGAATCGCATCCCTGATCTAAAAGAAATTCTCTTCAGATCCCTGACTTAATCATCAAATAAAGTTATACAGATTAAGAGTCTTCTGAACAAAACTTTAGAGCAGGAAGAAATTTACTTCAAAATTGAACTCTTGATAAACGAAGACCAGTACACTACAAGAACGAATAGCAAAGTGATGAAATGGACAGAATACTAATTCCGAGAGAGTACAAATTTTCGGCATAAAGAAGACTGATGTTTCAGCAGTTACCTTGATAGTGATAGGGGTTTCAACTATACTAGAAGCCACTCCCACAATGTTCTTCATCCGTAATGGTTTAGTCAAAAGAGCTGAACCAGCACCTTTGTTCACAACAATATCGATAGGGCAACCCATGTTGATGTCAATGAAATCAACCGTGCATTCTTGGTCTATGAGCTCAACTGCACGTGCCACAGTATCAGGGAATGCGCCACAAATCTGAACACCAAACAGGTCTTCTGAAGAATGGCGTCTAAGCAGTGCCCATTCTGAAGCTTGACCCTAAATTTAGCAGATGAATTAAATTCTTATCATTATGGAAGAATCGAAATGTTTTGTAAATCACTCTGTGAATCGAGAGGCTAACCTGCAAAAGATTTGTGCACATAGCCATCTCACCGCATGTAACATCTGCTCCCAGCACTTTGCAAACTCTGCGGAATGGGAGATTCCCCACAGTTGTTAGGGGTGCGAGGTACAATTTATCTCTAACATCGATCAGCTTTTTCTTTTCACGAGGGTGAAATTTCAGACTGCCATCAGTTTCAACAACTTTGATACTGTTCTCAGTGTCGATCAGAGAATGTCCGTTCTTTCCCTCCTCTACTTTCATGCCTGTTCCAATACAATTAAATCAAGAGCTAACATCATGTATGTCCTGATAATTTTCATGCCAACTCTTTCAGTTTGCAATACAATTGACAATCATATGCTCCACAATTTCAAAATTATAAATTGTCAAGCCATCTAAGATTATCACAAGAAGATATTTTGGCAAGCAAATTTGTCAAAGGGCATAAAATTGTAATGATGAAGGGAAGAACTGCAACCAACCATCATCAACTTCACCAGCGCAACAGTTCTCCTCATTTTCAGACTTCGGTTTTTTCGAAGGTCGAACCTCTTCTGTTTCCACTGGCTTAGGGGTATCAATCTCTTCTATCATTTCAGATGTAGAAGCTGAGTTTTGAACTGCTACTTCAGTTGTTTCAGAGCAGTTCACACCAATTGCAGTTTTGACTGCATTATTATCTGCAGCTACATTCCTTTTTTTGGCATGCCCCTACAGAGTAATAAGATAAACCACAAGAAGAAATATCGTTTTCCATTTTAAAATTGAATCTTAACAAAGAAAAACAATGAAAGAAAGCAGAAATGTTTGGCATACCAAGAGACCCAAGGATTCTAGTTTTGCATCTGCTTTGAGGAAATTCATCTTGTTTTTCCACAAAAGCTTCTGTGTTTCTTTCTTAAATGTATTCATCTCTGAGTTTTCTTTCGCGTCTGAAGCACCTGCATGATCTCCATGAGTTCCAGAGAATCTGCAGGCCAAGCCATACGCGCACCTCACTCCAGATGTCACAAATGGGCATTGCCCCTCTATATCCTCTGGTTTCTGCAGTTGAAGTAAGTTGTCTTTTGGGTAAAGCTTTCTATTCATTGTCATACAAACTGGTCGCCAATCCTAATTATGATGCCAAATTCATATGTCAAATTGATATCATGTATAGCTAAGTACCTGAGCCTTGAAAGCTTCCAAGTCATGATTAAACCGGCATTTCTCATTATATGGGCAGGAATTAACATCTCCAGTTCTTGCAATCTCTGGGCACAGATTGAGCGCAGCTTTCTACAAAGAGCACGTCATCAGTGTCAATTTCAACAACAAAATGAAAACCATCCATGACAAATCTCGTAGCCAGCACAGGCTAAAAGAATTAGAGTGAATTCCATGAATAATGAAATCAATCGGAGTTTACCATACGGCAAATTCCAAGTTCTAGAAGTTGTTGGACTCATACCACTTCTGATTAACGCCATTTGCTACATTATCCCATACAAACAATCTAACTCTCTACACACTTACCCGCCTATATTCACATCAATACACGACCATAATAGGCTGATACACACAGCAACATCCACAAACTCATACATATACAGGGCAAAGCGTGTGAAGCATATACCTCACGCCGTTCCCGTTTGATTTGCCGTTTAGATTTCTTCTCCTGGACCAAGCCCGACTGAGACGCCTTCGAGTCTGTGGCAGAGGCGGCGTCGTTTGGGTTACCGGTACGGTTCGGAGGCGGACGTAAAAACTCCTTCTTGATAGGAGCCACTGATCGAGAAACAAGCTCTTCGGGCGTCGCTTGGTACACAGAGCTCTGGTTCGTCGACGGTTCCGGCGGTTGTGGTCGCGTCTCTCCTTCGAGCACCGTCTCAGACGCCAGCTCCGCACCTGACTCGGCCATGGGGGACGAATCGGCTTGGCAAGTTCGGCCAAGCCAAAGGAGTCGTGATATACGAGAGGAAATGACTGTTGGGGGAGAGAGAAGGAATGAAGATGCAGATAGGGTTTTAGGCCGGAGAAAGAACAAGCAAAACGACAGGATAAGTCGTCGTTTGGAGTTTAAACCATAAACCCTCCTTCTGAGTGGGAGGGCTTGCGTAGAAACGACTCCAATGGCTCAGAAAAGCACATTAAATGCAATCCTCACATATTTTTAAAGTTCAGATTTTATATCCATTAATTAATTTCAATATGACATTTTAAGAAAAAAATTTAATTATTCAAGGTATAAAACTCCACACCCCACCAATGAAAATAATTCATGATTTTGTAGTATAAAGAAAATGTGGTCCCATCCACAATGGGGAACATTAATAATAGCATGAAAAAAAAATATGCCCATTTCAAAAGATTATAATAATTTTGGTTCTACCTTACAACGAACATATTTGACAATATAACATACAAACAGAGAGCTTCAGCTTCATCCTTTCATTCCATATTTCATCCTGATCACTAATAAGGAGAAAGAACATTACTTTACATGTGTTCACGGCTCTACTTGATGGTGATGTACCTGTTCGTTCCATGCCTGGCCCAGTAATCCTTGAGATCAACCGGGCAAGAGAGATCGTGCCCTTCCGCTGCCAAACGGCTGAGCAATCTCATGAAAACGCTCCCGCTCATCTTCCGTCCGCCCATTCGGGAATGCCTCTTGTTCAGCATCTGCGGAAGCGGATACTGTGACAGTGTCGTCGTGCAGCAGGAAGACTGCCAGCCGCCGTTTCCCCATTTATAACAGTGATGGACCGATCCCGTGCACGTGCACACGGGTACTGGCATAGTCGTCTCGTCAAAGATGACTAGGTTTAAACCCACATCAGTACTGTCCCAGTCAGTTCTGCACCTTTTTCCCGGAGAGGCAACTCGTCGATTCAGATCCTCCCCCACTTTCTTACCCTTTGACTGTACCGGCTTCCTCTCTTTCTTCCTTTTGGTCAGCTTCATGTTGGTTGGTTCAGGGGAAATGGCCGATATTGGAAATGCTTCGGGAATGTGGGTCTCCCCGGTGTTTATGGCCTCAGCCATGTCGGACTGGGAACTGTGCTTTAGAGGGAAGTTCAGACTGTTTTCCCGGTATTGGAGAGCAGCTATGGCATTGTCTCTCTCCATTAAGGCGTTATCCCTTTCAGAAAGAGCTTTGTCCCGTTGCTGAAGGGCCTCATCTCTTGCAGCTAATGCTTCTCTCTTTGCAGATAGCGCTTCATTTCTTTCTTGTATGGCTGCATCCCTCTCGGCGAGGATGGACATGATCTTCTTATTCATCACCAGCGCATTATGCTGCTCCTTCATCTGATGCTGGGGCATCATGTTCCACTACACAACACACACACAATATGCGATTTGCTTCAATCTGAGGAAAACCATTCGAGGGAAAAGAAAAAGAAAAATTGTTTATCCATTTCATGTGCCTGTCTTACCATCGAATGTGTCCCTTTGTAGTAATCCGGTTTGTACCTTACACTCTCATACTGCCCACCGTTGTCCATCTCCTTCTTAACTTCAAAGAAAGCTTACAATCTTCTCACCCGCACCCCCCAGCACTAGCAAAAGGGCAACCAAGCATTGTCATTTGCTTTCTGAAATGAGGTTGAGGATCACGAATTATGAGCCCACGTTACCACACAGAATTTCCCAAAAAAGGATCATAGGCAACAACTATTAAAATCATCCTTTTATAAGCTCGATGAGAAAAGACAGATTAACCACAACAAAGGGTGGAGAAGACAACATCCATCCGCTTTGAATTGAAATCATCATTCGAGAATAAATGTCTAAACGAAACCAGTTCAGTGGATCATCCTTTCCTTAACAATCAGAATTATCTGTGCCAGGGGAAATTCAATCAAAAGGGACAGCCACTTTCCCCGGGGTGGGCAAGCAAGTAAAAAGACGTAGACTTGCAATCGATCTTTCTCCGGAAAAATTCTAAAGGTAAGCCATCATCCATTCCACGGGTACGCCAAAAACACTAGAATCTAGATCCATGCAGAAGCCTCTCCAATTCTCACTATTTTCCTTGCGCCGTCAAAAATTCCCTACGACCCACTATCACCACTCAAAATCCCGTAGCATACCCAGTTAGGGTTCTTCATCAGCAAACTACCCAACCAATCAGAACCCGTACACAAAAAAAAAGGATAAAAATCACGAAAACTAAAATTTTGAGCGAAAGCCACGGGTTTTGAGCTCGAAGAAGGGCCGAAATTCCCCTAATAAGAGGGGGGGAATAGAAGATTGAGAACAGAAACCCTAGAGAAACAATTAAAACAAGGAACGCATTCGCAAGATCACAGATCAAAAGAGACAAGGACGAGAAAGAACAACGAAGAAACTTACGGAATTGTCCGAAGAAGAAGAGTAGAGGGTTCTGAAAGGGGCGAGCGAGAAAGGAAGCAGAAGAGTTGGATACTGTTTTTCCCAAATAGCCTCGGTAGCAAGTGATACAATTACAAGGTTATCCACGTCCTCCCCCACATTCCTCGTTCATTACAAAACCGTTTCCTTGTCGAATATCCTCAAAGCGCTTTCTTCCCGTAAACAAATATTTGATTTTAATTATATATAATAAGGAAAAATAAAACGGTGACACGTGGGCTGTCCGAAAATTTTAACTTGACGTGGGCCTTTTATATACATACGGGCCGTTAGTAGGCCCATATTATAAATCCGAGTTGAGTTCGGGTTGACCCGGCATGAGATGAGATCCCGACGTGTGCGCTTCGTTGTCTTAATATAAGCCTGGGGGTGTTCATCCCCAAAACGCGGAAATCCACACAGAGAACCAGCTTGATCAGATTTCGGTCTCTCTGTTAGGACAATAGCAAAACTCTTCCAGCAACCTTCTGCGATCTCGTCTTAATATCCGAGATGTCTTCGTTCAGTGGCGATGAGACTGCGCCTTTCTTCGGCTTCCTCGGCGCGGCTGCAGCGCTCGTTTTCTCATGTAATCAGAACACTAAGTTCCCTTTTCCTTTTGTCTTTCAAATTTGCTTGATCTGTGTGTTTTGGTATCTTCCATGATGTTTCTGTACTTAGCGGTCGTTGGAATCGAATGCGATTTGGAGAGATTGTGATATGTTTTGTTAGTTCTGGATCGGTCTAGGGGCATTCGCCGTTCTGTTTGTTTCTGTTGTTTGTAAGATCTTTCTGAACCTTGGTTTACTGGAATCCACGACAATCCTGATTATAGTCTTCTGTGTTGGATTTGACTTGGAGTAGAGAGATCCATTCGGTTCTGTCCTGTTGGATAATTCTATGCTTATGAACTCTGTGCTTCCTGTAGTAGATGAGGATCTTGAGAAATTAAGACACGAATTTGCTGGATTTTTAGAAAATGGGGATTTTGTTTGCTAGATTTGTATTGGTTAATTAATATTTGTTCCTAAACTTAGTGTTGCTTTTGCTTCATGAGATGTCCCCGGACTTTGTGATTGTTGTGCTCTAGATTGACTTTAGGAAATCTAGATTTTTTCCCAACTCCCAAGAATAAAATTGGCTAAATAGAACACACTTGTTCTGTTTGAACATTTTGATCTTTCTGAATGATGTAATTGTTTCAAACACAGATACATTTGTGTTTGTACTTATGGATATGCCGAGTTACATTGTGATCTGACAGTGTTTAATTCATGAATAAGGTTATCTCGTGTTATTTTGTGATGGGTTTGTGATTTTATTAGGCATGGGAGCTGCTTATGGGACAGCCAAGAGTGGGGTCGGTGTGGCATCTATGGGTGTGATGAGGCCTGAGCTGGTCATGAAGTCTATTGTCCCAGTTGTTATGGCTGGTGTTTTGGGTATCTATGGATTGATTATTGCTGTTATCATCAGTACCGGGATCAACCCCAAGGCTAAGTCGTACTATCTCTTTGATGGGTATGCCCATCTTTCTTCTGGTCTCGCATGTGGACTTGCTGGGCTTTCAGCTGGAATGGCCATTGGAATCGTGGGTGATGCTGGTGTCAGGTATAATGCCCCTTTTGTTTCATGCCCCGCCTTTTCGGCTTCGTCCGCATTTTCTTTAGTTTTCTCCATCATTTTGAACATAAGGATAATCAGCTTTCATTTGCCGTCTGTGTCCATTCCTCGACATGGGCTTAGTTTGATGAAAGAACTGTCCGCATTAGCTAGAATGACTTGTATCTTGATCTGACAAGTGATTTGGTGAGTCATCATCCACATCGTGGGTAAAGGTTACAGCCTAATCCATTGATCATGCAACTGTTGCCAAACCAATGTCAGAGATTATGCTTTTGAAGTTCGTGTGCAATATCTTACACATGCCCTTGTTGAGGCAGTATGGTTACTAAGTTATCATTTCTTTTCGGGGGATAAACCACCAATTTGGATATTTAGGCGTGTGTACATTCATCAAGCCTGTATATCATGTTTCATAAACATGGTGTTTTTGTTCTACAGGGCCAATGCTCAACAGCCAAAGCTTTTTGTCGGGATGATTCTTATCCTCATTTTCGCTGAAGCACTGGCACTGTACGGTCTCATCGTCGGCATCATCTTGTCTTCCCGAGCCGGTCAGTCCAGAGCAGACTGAGAGGATGGCCGGTTTTGAACCTCAAGGATTCTTTCAGCACTTGCCATCAAGCCAGACCGTCGTCTATTAAGATGGTGGATTTGCTTCCGACATGTTTCTTAAGAGCGTGTTGGCTCGATCCAAAAAACAAAACACTCATCAGTTGTCGTTTTCACCAGTTCTGTTATGTTTGATTGTTTGTAATATGTTCGCGAAGGAGATTATTGTCTGCTCAATAAGGACGTCATGAGTGAGAGACCCCATATTTAAATTATATTATTTTTCTCGTTGAATAAAACTCGGAAATATTCTCTTCCTATGAAGCTCTTGTGTGGTTAAATCGATAACGTTCATCGTTCCTTTCTTTGTCAAATCCTTCTGGTTTGTGTATGTGTTAAAGAAGAAAATTATGATAGATGACTAAGACTAAGAGAGTGTTATGACAATGTGCATTAAAATTGATAAGGCTGGATTAATCGGGTTTCAGTTCGGATTTAGTTCGGTTATTTCAGTTTTAGAAAAACTATAACCATTCGATTTTTACATTGAATTCGATTTTGGTTTGGTTATGATAAAAATGTTTATTTTCTTAAGAAAATTTATGGGTTTTCCGGTAATTTTTTTATTCGGTTCGGGTTCGGGTTCGATTTTTTCGGTTGTAGAGAAAACATAACCATTTAATTTTATATATAATTCGGTTTAGTTACGGTTATGCATCGATTCACATCGGTTCGGTCATTAAGCCACCCTAAAATTGGTTGTATATGAAATTCTCTCCTGGGAGGCCCAACGGGTCGTCCAGCCTTCTATTAGGCCCAGTAGGTTTGGTAGTCATAATTCTTTCACGTTTCTCAAATATTCAATTCTGACACGTTTTTCTTGGGCCTATGGGCCTTCCAAACTTCTATTAGGCCCAAATATCGTTTGGTAGCCATAGTCCTTCCACGCACCGTACAGTATGTATAAAATATCATCAAAAGTCGTTTGCCATCTCTTAGTCACGCTATCAATTATTCCTTTCTCTCTCGCTTTCCCGACGCCAATTCATTAGCGATCTCTCTCCCTCTCACGCTCTCCGAGGTAACTTCATTGTTCTCTCTCGCTGGCACTCTCTCTCTCTCGCGCGCGCTCGATTATCTGAAGCGAAGCTTCCGATTTTAGGGTTTTGTTTTGACTTTGCAGTTATCTGAATCTAATTCCAGGCAACAATTTTTCTGGTTGGATTTTTCTGGTTTCGAGGTCGGCTGAGATTCTGAAAATAATGAGAAAGACCTAGATTTCGCAGACTTTTTGGGAGTAAAACTGGATAGAATTTTGCTAGTCTCCGCGGTGGAGTTATAGTTAGTTTCGACCCTTTTCTCCTCGAATTGGCGTTGGATGCGCATTTGTTTCGTTGTTTTTTGTTGGAGGAAAACTGGTATCATCTTCATTGTGCTCCCGACTATCTGTGGAATCGAATACTGGGTCGTTGATTTTAGACAAATTTAGATTGGTGGGCAAAGTTCTTTTTTTTTTTTTGCGGATGAATTGCTTAGGAAATTGAATTGGTTACTTCCTTTAGCTGAGCCATCTGTTTTTCTTTATATTTCCCCTTATTGGAAGGTTGACAAGTTGCTCTCCTGGATTAGCTCTAATCGTCTGCAAGAAAATATGGTACGCTTTTCGTTTCTGTTTTAGGTACAAAAGTGTTTTCTTGGACCATTATCTTCATTCTACCTGTACAATCATCTTACCCACTGTATGCACTTGTGTTGAATTGTTCTGATGCATATGAATTTTTATGTTGCAGTATTTTGATGGATATGGTTATTATGGAACATCGTTTGAGCAGACTTATCGGTGCTATCCAGCATCCTTTATTGATAAGGTTTGACTCTAATTGCTTTCTTTTAGTTTGATACCATGGAGAAGTTTGAGGGGGATCCTTTTGAATCTGTTCCTTGTTGGATAAATACAACTTCTTATATTCGTTATATCTGTGTTTTGCCATCTCATCCTTCATGCGTATGATTGTCACCTTCCACTCAAATTGGGGTCCAAAGTTTAGCTCACTTCAAAAGCTGATTTTAGCATAGTTCACTCATATATTTTCCTTTTTTTAATTCCCTGCAGCCACAAATTGAAAGTGGTGATAAGAGTAAGTTTTCTTTTCTATGGACTAACGCTTGTTTACAGTCATTTTTACTTTTCAAATTGAAAATTTGGTTAAATTTTTATTCTTTTCAGTTATAATGCCACCATCTGCCCTTGATCGCCTTGGTACGTTGTTTTCTTTCACGTTCTCATTTTTGGACTCGGTTTGATTTGTTAAAGTTTAAAAAGGTTTAAAAAAAAGTCAGGGCACTAACATCAGATAAACTATACAGCCTCGTTGCATATTGACTATCCAATGCTGTTTGAGCTTAGAAATGCTGCAACTGAACGCGTTTCTCACTGTGGAGTCCTCGAGTTCATTGCAGAAGAAGGAATGATTTACATGCCATACTGGGTGAGAATCACATTTATTACCTTTGCTTTAGTGTCATTGGAGATGCCTGAGACTTTGTGATTAACTGAATTGTTGTTTGTTGATATGAATATGTTTCATCCAGATGATGCAGAACCTGCTGTTGCAAGAAGGAGATATTGTGAAAGTTAAAAACGTCACTCTCCCAAAGGGAACCTACGTAAAACTACAGCCGCACACTACTGACTTTCTTGATATATCTAACCCGAAGGCCATGTGAGTCTCACTTGTTTTTGCCCTCTCAGATTCGCATATTTCTGGTCATACAACAAAATGGCACACATTCTTAAAACATTCCTTCCCCCTTGGGTTTCTGAAGGGCAGAAGGAGATGTTTACGCAATCCATCATGCAAGTCACAATCTTAATCATTATCTGCATCAGTCTGGCCAATAGGATAACATGTTAATCTTGTGCTCATTCATAGTATCAAAATTCTTTGCATGTTTGGCTCATGGCTGTTATCCTTTTAGGGTCAATCTTAAATCCTACATATGTTTTTGATCTTGAACTGCTCATCGATGGGCCTTATTTGCTTTGCAGCTTGGAAACGACATTGAGGAATTATTCATGCTTAACCACCGGGGATAGCATTATGGTTCCTTACAACAACAAGAAGTACTTCATAGATATAGTTGAGACAAAGCCTTCTAACGCAATCAGCATCATCGAAACGGACTGCGAAGTTGATTTTGCACCTCCGCTTGACTACAAGGAGCCGGAACGGCCCGCCCCTCCTGCTCAGGTCAAGGGTCCAGCAAAAGGTTTGTAACTAACCACCGTTTCAAGTTAATATTAACCTCGACTATGTTTGCGTTTAATGAACTTCTTGGTTCATATGTAGTTGAAGAGCCTCCAGCTGAACCAGAACCTCCCAAGTTCAACCCTTTCACGGGAGTCAGCAGACGTTTAGATGGGAAACCTCTGTCCTATCAGCCGTCGCCTGTCTCTTATCCATCCTCTGGGTCTAAAGACAAGCAGCCTGCCGTTGCTAATGGTAGTGGCCAGTCATCGGCAGGAAGCAGTTCACAGAATGCTCGGCAAACTCAAGGGAAACTTGTGTTTGGGGCAAACGTAAACCGTGCCCCAAAGGAAGCACCAAAGGTAATCATTGGTTTGAAGTATACACATTTACAATCAAAATTTACAATACGTTCCCAATAGAAATAATAAGTTGCTGCTGCTTGGCGTTTGTGGGTTGCCCACCAATGATTGAATTCGGAGAATTTAGCAATTTGTGATTAAATTTGTCAGGGAGCTGGAAAAGATAACAAGCAAGAGCAAGGAGAGAAGAAAGAAGAGGAGCCCAAGTTTCAAGCTTTTACTGGGAAAAAGTATTCATTGAGGGGTTGAGCTTGAACATGAACATCACCTCCTCTACTCTCAGGTGGAGCAGCACTGTAGTGTTTCACAATTCTCACATGTTGTGTATTATGCCCTGCCCCCCACAAACTTTAAAAACAAAACTAGTAACCACTTGGGTTCTTCTTCTCAGACTTGCAAAAAAGAAATGAATAAAATGTTTTCTCCGACCAAATTCAACGCCCTGATGGAAAAAGTATGCAGCTGGCAGCTGCTTTCTGATTTAATGGGCCAAAAAATGGGCTTTCTTTTTTCTTTTTTAGCAAACATGGGCTTATTGATACTGCTGATGTTTAGCCCGTTTATATAAAGGCCCATTACAGGCCCACATATTAATCCATTATTGTCCCTAAGAGCTCTGTGTTTCGCTCAAGCGAGAGAGAAGAGAAAGATGGCGATGACGCAGTGGTGCGGCGCGATGGCTCGGCGGATGATGCTGATACAGCGTTTGCCTGCTTCGCTGTCTTGTTCGGTGAGGTTTTCTTCGATTTCTCCGGCGTCGGCGTCGGAGATGGAGGTTTGCGGGAGAGGGGACAAGAAGACGAAGAAGGGGAAGAGGTTCAAAGGGTCGTACGGGAATGCGAGGGTGAAGAAGAAGAAGATGATCGAGCGTATCAAGGACAAGGTCGAGGTTCCCAGGTCTACTCCTTGGCCTCTCCCTTTCAAGCTCATCTGAAATTTCTCTTTTTAGGGTTTTGTCTGCCCCCTTTTGTTTCGCCTTTCCGAGCTGGGATCCTAAGCTTAGGAGAACTGAATTGTATACTTATCCGTTTGAATTTCCTGGTAGAAAGTTGAAAACTCGTCTATTTCCATCCGTATGAATCTGGATTTGACTTCTACTTCCAACTTAGAGATCCACAATTCATTTGCTAGATGCTGTTGTTGTTAAACTCTCTCTTTTTCTTTCTTTCTGATCTGTCTGTTGTTCCGAATTTGTAGTCCGAGATTCTACGATCCTAAACCCTGCAAATTGTGTCGTTAGAGATGAAACCCCGTAGTCAAGAATAAGCAGTGTATGATATGATGGTGTTGATTTACCCAAATGGTTGATGAATGCCATGAATGAGTGTAGGATTCTTTCTCTTGGATTGAAAGCGTACGAACTGTGGCCGAGCTCTATTCTTTTTGGATGAATCGAATCGGCCGAAGAAGGATTGTAGTGTGTGGATTGGGTTCTACCATGTGGGTTAAGAGGGGAATTTCAGGGTTTGGGAGTTCCAAAGTTTGACTCTTTTGGAGATGGATTCTCCTCTCTTCTCTTTTTGCATTGTGTGAATACTTGCTGCCATTTTGCATCAAGCCGTGGATACAGTCATTATATGATCATCTTTTAGTCTTTGTAAGCAATCTCTGAAACGACATTATAAAAAATATGGTTTATATACTATTTTGATTTCAATTCATATTTTTTTTCAACTTTGATGATGTGACCAGTCTCATACTTACATGATAACATTATTTATAACATTAAATTTATGATGACTAAACTAATTCACCATATTTATTTCTTACATATAAAACTATTATAAATTGAACGTTATAACTAATGTATTTACACTTTTGTCTACAGTTAGAAAATGGTATGGTTTAAGTCAAAATAATATATGGATAATATTTTTAATATAATGGTTTAAGTCAAAATAATATATGGATAGTATTTTTAATATAATACCCTCTTGAAACAAATAAATCATCTAATATGATATATTGTCATTATCGAAAATATAAAATGTATTTTGATTTTCCATCATGAAATTTTTATAATTTTAAAGTGTATATGAATGAGTGGGCTTGAAGTGAGAGGTTTAAGACCCAATAGGAACGGAAGCCTCATAATATCTAAAATCAGGCCCACGAATGGCCCATTACTTTCGGAGTGAATACGTCATTGGAATGGCCCAAGACGACGTCAAAGGCCGAACTTATAAATTACAAGTCCAAAAATGCATGCCACGTATCCGAGAAAACAGCATCTGTATAACGAAAATCCATAAAGTTGCGATTTTTCACAGTTTTATTTCGGATATTAAAAATATAAAATAAATAAATAAATAAATTACAACTTTAAAGGAAGGCCACTAACTCGAGGGCTTGAAAGCTGCACCCAACTGCTTCTCGACCACCAAATTCCTAGATGAATGACAAATTGGCCCCACCTTTTTTGCTTTAAGTTCGTTCTTTTGTGGTCATCATTTTTTATATTCTTTTTTCTTTTTTTTTTTAATTTCTATGTTTCGTATTGATGTCGTTCCGGTCGTACGGTGTTCATTTTTTCTAGTGCACAAAATTTTATTTTATTTATTTTCAAAATTATAAAAAAAAAAACAGAGGAAAATTCTAATTCCTCGTTGATAAAATATTGGATTGGACAACAAGCCGTTATGTCAGAAAGCATTTTTACAAGTCGGATAAGATTTTGGAACTTAATGATTTATCACAACTTTAGCGTGTACTCGTTTATTACTTATTTTTTTTATAATAATAAAATGGAACCTTACACGTCAGTAATTTGTCATGTTTAATGTAGTAGTAGTCTATTAGCATGTGTATGTGTATATTTATAAAACAATTTGGTAAATAATTAAGAAAAAACACATGAGATCTTGCGTGATTTTTAGATAGATAATAACTATATAACCAATCGTAAATTGAGCTATTTGGATCATTTATATATAATATTATACAACATTTGTAGCAAACGGCGAGCACACATGCACCGAACTCGAGGACAACAGAAAAGACACCGTGACCCTCCAGATCAGGTAGAGTCTTCGTGGACCCTTGATTGTATTTATTATTGGTTTTCTTTAAATCCGAAGATAAATTATGTGATCACCTAAATGGAAAAAAAAAAAAATCATTTGTGATTTTATTGTAGCACAAGAAATTGTTTACGGGAGACAGGGCGAGTAGAGAAAGTTATATACTCGCAGCGTTTGGGGGATTCCACCGTATTTCTTTTCACTGCCCTCTCCGCCTCTCCTTCTTCCAATAATTTTTTTTTTCACCTCCATCGCCATTAAAATAAAGGAAGAATTTTCTCGATAACATTAAAAAGTATAAAAATTTCTTCTTCTCCTTCCTCCTTGATCTGCCTGAGTAATCCTGACCCTTAATCTTGCTCGCCCTTAACTAATCAGAGATTCCTTCTGCTTCCGTTTCTTCTCCAGCAATTGGATTAATGGTTTCTGCTCTTAAGCAGAGAACGATGCTGTGTGGGAAGTGAGACAATTGCTCGAAGAGAGAGAGAGAGAGAGAGAGAGAGAGAGAAGCGTGAGGTTGAAGAAGAAGAAGAAGAAGAAGAAGAAGAAGAAAAGATGCGAATTCTATGCGATGCGTGCGAGAGCGCGGCGGCCATACTCTTCTGCGCCGCCGACGAGGCCGCCCTCTGCCGCTCCTGCGACGAAAAGGTATAATCTTCCGTATACCCTTCTGCTGTGTAATATCCTTGCGCCAATATCCGTGTAGGTATACACACACACACACACGGGAAGTTCGTCTATTTACAGGCAGAGATTGAGCTGCTTGAACGGTTGAGAAAAGCAAATTCTCATTTTTTGCATCCGAGACTACATTTTTCTCGATTTGATTTTGTGCTAAGACTAGTAGAATTTGATGATGAATTGACCATGAGATTCGGATCTATATGTAATTCAAAAATAGGAAAAAAGTTGAATTTGTGTCTCGTTTTTTATTGCATTGTACGAATCAGGCAATATGGAAACCATCGAGTTCCATGTCCACTGCAGTGATTTCTTCGTGTTCTTGAAAGTTCTCATGTAATCTACTTGTGGATAACGTTTTTGTACGGAAAACTGTATTACTGAAAAGGGTGTTTTGATGGGTGAATAACAAACCCTTACGCGAGTGAAGATCATTTGATGGGTAACAATAAGATTTCATGTTCAAACGGTAATGGATTCACTGCTTGTTCCTGCTCTCAGTGATCCTTTGAGAGATCCTGAGTGTTATTCAGATTTCATGGATTTTGATTGGAAATGGTAACATGAGTTAGGATTCTTTTCTGTGATGTTAAGGAGATCATGTAATAGAAAAGGACGATTTGTTTTGTTTTCAGGTCCATATGTGCAACAAATTGGCTAGCCGGCATGTAAGAGTCGGCCTGGCTGACCCAAGCGATGCCCCACGCTGCGACATCTGCGAAAACGCACCCGGTACCAAGTTCTGAACACTTGCTGTCCCATTCAGTTTCTATCATACGGCCGAAGTTTTCATTTTTGAAACCCGGGTTTTCTTTTTTCTCCATCTTAAAAAAACGCCCGAGCAGCCTTCTTTTACTGCGAGATAGACGGCAGTTCTCTTTGTCTGCAATGCGACATGGTCGTACATGTCGGTGGCAAGAGAACACATGGGCGTTTTCTATTGTTGAGACAGAGAATCGAGGTTTGAAATCTGCCGTCGCAAAAGCAAATCTTGAAATCTAATTTCCGAATCTGTCTCAGAGTTTAATGTTCCCCCCTTGCCCGGGTGCTACCTATTCTTGCAGTTTCCAGGTGACAAGCCCGGCCGTGCGACTGAACTCGGGTTACAACACAAGGAGCAGAATTCGCCAAACCAAAAGATGTCTCTACAAGAACAGAATGCAAATGCTGACAATGATGATGGCAAGGTAGAGAACAAACTGATCGATCTGAATGCCAACCCTATGAGATTACACGATACCGCATCAAATAACCAGGTATGTTTAAACAACTCTTACTGGCGTCTCAACTCTTATATGGTTCCGTCTTGTCTTCTCTTCCGCTCGTCCCTGATTGCATTTTTCAACTGTTTGTTTCTGAAGGAGCATGGCATTGATGTAAATAACACGAATAACCACGAATCCGCGAGCGTTGTTCCTGTTGGACACTTTAAAAGAGAGCCTGAAAAATGAGTAGGTTCGCCTTCTCTCGACGCGATGTTAAGTTAGGCCGATTGTACATCCGATCCAACACTTGAACTTGTCTGGTTTTTTGGCCCTAACGATCCGGTGCAGGCGCTCGCTCTTCTTACACGTTGAGAGGTTGTTCAAGCATTTATGCCTTTCGTTGTTACATCTATCTTTTAGGTATTTATTCTTCTTCACGAGGGAAGTCTCTGTTCATCCAATATTCTTGGTGAAGTTGATATTTAGCTCAAGTTTTCTTCTAATCTAAGATCTCAACAGTTCATTTTTTTTTCTGGGTTCCGTTTTCGATCAGTTTGATGAGTGGAAGTGTCGAGATGGTTAAACACTTGTAACTCGAACCCTGTTCTTGTCTGGTTCGAACCTTTCGGACAGAGAAATCGTCATTCCAATAACTGAGGCAAACTCATCAGCTGAATAAATGTCCAAATCCAGAGATAACAAAACTAGTCACATAATCGAAACTCGAGAGGAATTTAAAGCCTTTCAGCCGTTCATTATACATCATCTTCTTCATCAGAATCTCACAGATGGTTTCATCTTCTTAGTAAGTGTATCCCTTCACGAACATGCCCTTCTTGGCTTCCTCGGACTCGCCTTCACCAGTGTATTTCCCGAGCTGGGCTTGGGAGTTTGCCTGGGCACGGGTCAAAAGAGCATCCTGAGCGGCCTTCACGTTCTCGGGCCTGCCTCCCCATGTCTTGAGGCAAGTGTTCTGCAGGGCACGTGCGTAGGAGAAGGACACGTGCCATGGGTTCGGTGCCTGGTTCATGGCGTTCAGGTTCAGTGTCGCCTCCACCTCTGACTGCCCACCCGACAAGAACTGCGTAGCCAAATCCAAACCAGCACGGATCAGATCATACTCTGACTGAAAAAGAAAACGGAACCAGCGAACGAGGTACTTGCCATGATTCCGGGGACAGCCGGAGGGATTCTGTTGTGGAGGAGCTTGAGAGTGTAGGACGCGACCTTCTCAGGTGTGGCTCTGTCCTTGGACTCTGCACCAGGGGTCACCATGCTCGGCTTCAGGAGGATTCCTGTCAACCAAATTGGACAAGAAACTGAGAATTTCCGGACATTACCAAAGTAACAAGTTGTCGGACACTGAACCAATACATACCTTCGAACATGACGTTGTTCTGAGCGAGGTAGAAGAACACCTCTGCCCAAACCTTCTCCGCCACGTCGTAGGTGCGGTCAATGCCATGTTCTCCGTCCAGAAGAATCTCAGGCTCCACTATCGGCACCAACCCATTGTCCTGCAAGGTACAAAGGCTTTAACCCAAGACGGGAACGAGACACGACACCATTTTCTTGCAGGAAAAGCTATGTTTCTTTGTTACCTGAGAAATCGCAGCATAACGGGCGAGACCCCAAGCAGCTTCTTTCACGGCGAGAGCAGAGGGACCGTTGGGAATGCTCACGACGGTACGCCTAAATGAATCACAAACAGCATTTGGATTCACATATTGTTAAACTCAGTATGAATCAGAGTTGGAATAGTTATGATCGAGAGATTGTACCATTTGGCAAAACGAGCGCCCTGCTGGTAATAGGCAGCCGAGCGAGAGGCAAGACCGTCGAGTCCTTGGCACCATGACTCATTGTTAGAGCCAGCAAGTGGCACCAGACCCTAAATTTAAAAAGAATACAAGCCACATCATTTACAAAAAAAAAAGAATATCGGCTTTAGGAAAGATTCAGAACTAATCTCTCTTGGTTAGAACCCTTCACTAACTTCGGACAAGCTTGTTTCTCTGCTATGAATCAATCGAACTCAAAGAAATTAAGATTTTACACAGCTGAGGTGATATGTATAAGATTAACAAGTGAAGGGGTTGGTACCTTGTCGACTTTGATACCAGGGACGATGTTCTGTTCGGAGAGGACGTCGACCATCTTGCGGCCGTCGGTCGTGGATTGGTAGAGAGTCTCCTCGAAGAGGATGGCTCCGGAGATGTATTGACCCAGTCCCGGCGCCGTTATCAGCAGTGTCCTGTAAGCCTGCCTGTTCGCCTCCGTGTTCTCAAGCCCTATCGACGCCAATCGCTTTCCGCACGTCGCGTTCGACTCGTCCATCGCCAAGATTCCGCGTCCAGGAGACGCTATGGTTTTCTAAACAAACCCATGAAACAAAATTCGAACTTTCGATCAGAAAACGACCGGGGGGATTTCATAACGGTCGAGAAAAGGGATGAAGCATATGCTTACAGCGGTCTTGACAAGCTCGTCGGCGTAGGATGAGGAGGCGCGGACGGAGAGCGCGGACGGAGAAGCGCGGGTTCGGACAGCGGCGGAGGACGGCTGTCGGAAGAGGAGGCTCTGTCCCTTCAACCATTCCGACTTGTCCAAAACCGGCGATGCCTTTAGCAGAGTGGCTGAGGTCGATGCCATTTTTCTCTCACCCTGCGACTTGGTTGTTCCCTGGACTCCCAATAAGCTAACGGCACGGCCTTATCTCTGAGGTCACTCCCCTGTTTTGGATTTATATTTGCCATTAGATCAGTTATTTGAGGTTCGTGTCTCCCCGCCAATAGCATTCCGCCACGTGGAGGTGATAAGCCGTTACACAAGCGGTTGATTTATATCTTCCTCCCGAAATAAAAAAAAATTGTCAGGACCATAATATTTAGTTTCGTTATATTTGGTCTCTTGTATTGTTGAAACTTTCCGTCGTTATTTTGAGGCTCGAGAAGGGAGAAGCACAGGACAAATGCATCCTCTTCACTTGAAAAGGCCAAGAGATTAAAATTTTTAAAAAACGAAATTGGGTGTGAGGTTATAACCATTTTGAGTGATTTAACGGCAGAGATTAGGCCTCACAAGATTCAGTGAAGTTAACATCAACGGTAGATGGCTGCCTGGCCACGTCATCCTGATTCCTGGACAGAAAATTTGGTGAAAGCCTCGGAACGAGCGAGAGGGTCCAAAGTGCTTTGATTAGACAAGTCTAAAACGGAGGGGTAGCCACCGGTTTAAAAAAAACACCAACGTCCGACAGGAATGAACCTAAGATAGATATAAACACTCTACCTGAAAACAGAACACTAAATTACTTAAACACTTTCAGTGAGAGAAAGATCCGAGATCCCGGCAATCAGATCATCGATATTACCGTTCTCCTGTACAATCGGATCATCGTCAATAGGCTGTGGCTTCAGTCGCTCTTTGGAAGGCTCGTTAAGCGCCTTCTTTAGCTGTCACTCAAACTCATCTTCCTCATTTTTGTCCTCGGGAATCTCTAGATCCCACACCCTAAAAATATCGAGTGGAGAGAGCTTAATCTGACCCTCGTAAATATTGAACCCATCAAAGGGATCAGCAACATTGTCCTGAATAGACATGCCCATGAGATCGTCCTTGACTAATCCAGACAATAATGACTCGGGTTCTGCCTCTTCCCCGCTTGCTGAACCATTTTCTGCTCTTTCAACATCTTCCTGGACATCGGGAGTGTCCATGGGATCAAGGGTTCCGGTTATTGTCATGGAACTGTTGTCGTGTGTTGAAAAGCTACCCTCTTGTAAAGAGATTTCTGATGGATCTGGTTCAAAACGTAGCAAGGAGAGTATCTCGCTCACTTCTTCGGTCAATGAACAGCTGCCGTTCACTGAATCAGCTTCTTCTCCAAAAGTTGGCATATCACTTGACTCGGTTTCAGCCATATCTTCGTCTCTGAATAGAAATCTTGTTCTTGTTGAAGAGGGAACACATAACTCGGGATAGTTATCGGTGACTTCTGTTAGAGCGTCTCTTAGAGTTGCCCAGCCATTATTGTCTGAATCCTCCGGAACATCAGTGAGGCAAGAATCCACCCAGGCTAAATCTTCTGGAGAAAGAGCATTCTCATCTCTCATGGAGAAAGAAACTTCCGTTGCATTTACTTGTTCAGCCATGGCTACACACATTAATCAGGAACATTGTCATGAACGGCAGAGACAAACAATTTGATTTCCCGGCACAACGAACCACAGATACAAATTCATCGTATAGTCTGAATGCACCGTACAATTTGTTGGTTCAAGCATCACAGTTCACTAGCCAGAGACTGAAGTGTTACTAGAAGCAACGTAATGACATAAACAGCTCCAGTCGTCTGACAAACCAGGAAGCCAAAATCTTTCCATTACCAACTCAAACGAACGCAAGAAATAGAACATGACCCGAGATCGAGCCAAAATACGACTTGTTTACACGAGTGACAAAAGGATTCATGTCTTGATAGAAAGGAATTCTACTCACAGACTGGAGTGACTCGTCAGTAAAATCACAAAGCTGACAGGAACAGAACTACGGCCAATTCGATTGAACATAAAGCCAACTAATTTTCACGTATAGGCATAGAATAACGTCTTCTGGTTGCAATTGCAAATTAAATTAATGAATGATTAAGAAGGATCAAATGCCCAGTTCTCCGTTACCAGCCAAAAAAATGAAAATATCGAAATTTGGCCATAAGTTAACCAGGGGAAAAGCACACCCCTTTCCGGTAAAACCTAAGCAACTGTGATCTTCCGGAGGACAAGATGACAGAAAACCCATCGATGGAATCAACAATCGAGTCATTAAACAAAAACCCCTACGTGCTAATTACCACATAATCGCGTGATTAAAACTCGTTAATTGCCAGAAGCAATCTAAAGGATGAGACGATCAAATCCACGAGAACGCATACAATGAGTTATGCCATGAGAAGTCAGAGAAGGACAAAACTTTACCGGTTCAGAAACCCTAGCCTTCGAAGAATGAAGAATACCGCGACCTGTTCAAAGTTTCGGAGACGCATTTGACTGAAAGAAGGAACCGAGAGGGGAACGGGCGGCGTCGTGCCAAAAAACGGCGACGCTTTGCTTTAATTTCAGAAACTCTATTCATTACCAACCCCCAAAGTTTTTAAAATTATCCGATTAACCGCATACTTTATATAATTGTCGAAGTGATCCAAACATTTTACCAATTACTGTAACACCGCGCCTAGGGTGGTCATTTCAGTTATTAACCGAATAACTGAACTGAACCGAATTGAATAAGACATAACTGTATCTAAACCGAACCCGATATTAAAATTAAATGGTTATGATTTCTTTAAACCTGAAAAAATTGAAACCGAACCGAACCGAATAAAAAAATAACCAAAAAAATCGATAATTTCTTTGAAAAAAATAAATTTTTTATCGAAAACGAACCGAATCGAAGCGAAAAATAATCGAACTAAATCGAATCGAATTTTATATAAAAATCGAATGGTTATAGTTTTCTATAATCGAAATAACCGAACCTAAATATAACCGAAGCGAATCCGAACTGAAATCCGAAATGAGCAAGTGCAAACGGCGGGACCAATAGAATTCAGACTTTTAAAAAGAAGGGAATAACAAGTTTCTGGTGACGAAATTATTTCTGTAATGCTGGAAGCAAATATATAGACAGAAAATACTTGTGAAAAAATGTAAAGCTGACAGAAAAGACAACGTAAACGCACAAGATACAAATATTTGTAGGGCAGATTTGGCCATTACATCCGGAACACCAAATGCTGAGATTTAAAAAAGAAAAATCAGGAAAGAGATAAGATCATCATGATCACCCGAATGAGATATTCGGCTACGACCCTCCTCCTCCTCCTCCTCCTAACTCTGAAAACTGCCTCTTCCTTCTTTGCTTCCGCAAGATGAGAGACTCTCTCTTCTTTTTCTTCTATTAACTTTGAAAAAGAAAAAAAACTTCAGAATCTGCGGTGTGGAGGGGTCAGGAAAAACCAGGATTGGCCGCGAAGAAAGCCAAGACGCCAACGAAGGGGGCATTGATGTAAGTGGTGGGCTCCGACTTCCGGAAATCTGCTCTGTCATCCTCGTACATGTCGTCCTCTCCCGGTCCACCCACCACCGCCCCCACCAGCACGTTCGGGTTCGCCCCCGTCGAGTTGAAATAAACCGACCCTTCTTTGCATCCTATCGGCTGAGGATGATCCCCTATCGACGGCAAGGACGAGCCCCTGTGATGGATCTTTCGTGGGTATCTATCTCCATACCCAACCATGTACGACATCCCCATCGGATTATCCCCAAGAATGTAATCAACCTTCACACATTTCAACATCAAAAACAAGAAAAGGGTGCTTCAAGAACTAAGCTGTGCCATGATATGGTTGATTGATGGATGTTTTGGGAGGGGAGAGAACCTGTTTTTTGGCGAGAAGGCGGAGAGAGTCGGGGGAGAAGAGGAGGTTGCCGCAGGAGAGAGACTGGGAAGAGAGGGAGAGGTAGTTGGCATAGACGAGGAGGAGGAAAGAGATGGTGGTGGCGTGTTGGAGCTGGCTGCCTCCTGGCTTGTACAGCAGCCCTCCGGCTGTGTACTCCACGTGTGGCCCTGGCGAATCCGGTACCAGGCTGCACATGAAGCTATCCGCCGACGCCTTGTACGCTGCCAGCGTATACATATTCCCTTGCACCACTTCCTTCACTTGCAAGTAAAAACATTCTCTCACTTACTTACTACAGTGTTTGACGGTTAATTTAATCAGAATCCGATCCAGATTAGAGAATCTACATCTGTTCTGATCATATATAAGACTTAAGTTCATTTGTCATCATATCCTTTTACAAAATATGATTTTAAATTGTTTGGCCTTCTTCACAAACACGGAGGGAATCCAAAGCTAAATCTTATGTATGCCCTTTGACACGTGACGACCTCGTGCTCCGAATCTAATAATATTTAGGTATTTTTGACCCCCTATGTTTAAGAATATAGAGAAAGAGGGTACACACCTTGGAAACGAGGACATTGAGTCCGCCGATTTTGTTGTCCCATCCGAACTCGTTGATGTTCTCGCTGGCGCCAAAGGGTTCTCGGTTGCTCTCTACGTACTTTAGGAAACTGTCATCACTCGTCGCTCTTCTCAACCACGCCGCTCCCCACAGCAACTCATCCTATATATATATATATATTTAACCCACCAAGAAAAATTCAAGATTAACTGTATCCAAGGAGTCAAAGGTTACATTTTTATAAATAAAACACATACACGAAAACCATAGGTAGAGAATTACCTGATATCCGTTGAAATCACAATAGAAAGGACAAACATCATCCCTGATATCGGCATTGTCGCTGTAAGGACCGCGATACGTATCGGCGTATTGAAATGCTTTGACGGCGTTTTGGAGCAACGTTTGAGAATAGCCAGGATCCGATGATCGGAAAGCAATGGAGGATGCTGCTAGGGCTGCCGCGATTTCTCCGGCCACTTCTGAGGCCGGATTCGGAGCATTTACGACGTAGGCATTCCTCGGTGTATCCATATCCTCTGGTCTCTCCCAGCAATTGTGGTCTGCTATCGGGTCACCTACCTGTCACAGCATATCATCATTCGTTTTTATTAATGACAAACTTATTCTCCGTAATATTTCTATAAGGTGCGAGTTAACCCCATTTTAGGATTCAAGAATATGAAAAGGAGTTTTTACTTTTTAGCATATGACCAAACAAGGGTCACGATCTGTTTCTAATAATTGCAAGCTGAGAGCTGATGGGTGTGTGATTTGGTCTCGTCAGGGGAAATTTACAGCATAAAATACGACACATGCCTACGTATCTGATTCCTAGTAGATGGAAACAAGGAAAATGTACAATCACAACTAATAATATACTGTTTTGACTGCGAATAATGACGTAACATAAACTAGAAACGAACGGCCAATAGGTTTCACATAGTAAAGTCTCTCTCTTTCTTGTCTCTTCTCTTCTTCTCTATGCGTTCACTTTACAGACCCACTTGCATTTACTCTCAAGAGAAGGACAAATCGTCGGTCACTATTTCCGAACCAAATTTTTGTATGTCCATAATTCTATATCTTATCCAAAATAAGTTCTGCTCTAGTTATTTATTATACGTATAAATAGATGTCTGGGAATCATATTGCAAACATTTAAAAAATGATAATTAAAAAAAATAAAACTATTTAAAATAGTTTTATATGAATATGTACACAGCAAGTACAAAATCTAGTCAACCAGACCCCGTATTTCAGTTGAGACCGAAAATCTATCGAGAAATAATCGGAAACCCAACAACTAAAAAAAGTAGATAGCAGAGGAACTGACCATTAATAAAATTCAAAATTATGCTTATTAGTATTATTTTTTATGGAATAAAAAAACATTTGCAAATCGTGATTCACTGCCTAACTCTTCGGCGATAAATCTATATTGTAATTTTGACAAAATCAAACACGCCACTAACATTTTCTTACATTCTGTTAAAAAACATTTTCTTACTAATTTATATACACATATATATATATATATGTATTATTTCTTATAACGAAATTAAAAATAAAAGGGGAGATGGGCCAAAAAAGTGTGATGAAACGACAAGGGCAATTCGCCACACAGGCAGAGTCCACCATCCACTCACGGGTTAGTTTCATATCTGGCAACCGAAACGAGCAGTTCCTAAATCCCATTCACCCGAATTGCCTAAACTACCCCTACCAATTTCGCTAAATCACGGAAAGGCCACCACCGTAATGCAGTTGAGTAAATTTAGTAACGGCGTACGCCGACGCCGGTGCCGGTGGACGAAGAAAACCGACGAACGGTGGTTTGTATGGCAAAATCTGTAATTCGTAATTGTTTTCGGGAATGGAAATCACGAATTTACCTGGACGAATATGCGGTAAGGGAGCTGAGAAACGGACTTGAGAAGGTAATTGGAGCCCCAGCGGACGGCAACGAGGGCGTTTCGGCGCTCCGGCGGGGGCATGAGGTCGCCGAACTCGATGACGCTCCAAGCGAGCATCGTCGTCGTGAATGCCATCGGAAAGTGGAACTTTACGTTATCACCGGCATCGTAATAACCGCCGGTGAGATCGGTGTTGTGAGTCCATCCGTCGCTCAGGCCGGAGTGTCGCCTCCACGTCAGCCTCTGGTCGTTCGGCAGGAATCCCGATCGCTGTCCTTCGAAGAAGAGGATCGATTTCGACAGTGCCTCGGAGTAATCGTGAGAGATCACCATTATCGGCAGATGAATAAGAAGAAGAAGAAGAAGACGAAGAACAGAGTGTGGAAAAGACTGCAATTTCATGGCGTCGGCAATTTTCTCTTTGTTTGGGCTCTGGGGATTGGGAAAATGAAAAGGCGGAGGTAGTTGGGCTTTGATAGGTGCTGATGGACGACGACTGCTTTTGCTACTCAGAGTCACGAGACTTATATATAGAGCAGAGCTATACATATGTAGATAGATATAGAGAGATATCCTAATTTTTGTAAATTATCGCATATATAGTGGTGGATTTCAGACGATAAATAAAAATTTGGAAACACTTTTAATTACATAATACACACATATACATATATATATATATATATATATATATATTATACAAGGATTATAAATGTGTATAAATTGGTCGTGACTATTTTATTAACATTTTATATCTTTGTTAATTTTGTGGACTGGTAAATCAATAGCAATATATATATATATATATATATCATCAAATAACATTTGTATGTAAATTCTAGTGTTAGTTTTAGGAATAACAAAGCCTCCGACTTTACGGCATGGAGTTTAGTTTGGACTTCTAGATTTAGGTTTTTTCCTATTTTAGTCTTTATATACATTGAAATTTATTTATTTTTTGTTCCATAAAGTGAAAATATATTTTCCATCACTATCTACTTTAATGTAATATTTGTGACCCAGTGTTTCCTGAAATCTCATAATTGAAGAACGAGGATATTATAATTTTTAGTAATGGTATTATTATCAAGGGATGTACAGAAAATTATTACAATGTTATGTTTAATTCTGTATTTATAATTTAGATATTTATATTAGTTAAATGAAATATTGGAATAATGAAAATTTTTCTCTAAATCTCTGTTGGTTGTGTGCTACAAGTGCCGACAGTCACTGTTTGGAGTGAGTGAACGCTAAGGTTTTGTTTGTTCACCTATGGTCCTATACGATTTAAAGTGCATATATACATATATATATATATATATATGTATTAGATTATTATATACATACATATATATATATTGTTGCATTGATGAGTGTGTGTATATATATCGACGTGATAATAACATACGAAAGTGAACAACTTTCACAACGTAGAATGTATCAATCAGACTTTTTCCAAAATATAATAATATGGAAGATACTGGAATCTCGTGAAAAGGGTGGGTCATGTGACAAAAAAAATATGCAATTTAATTCGATGCTTCCCTCAACGATACAATCTTTAGGATATCGTTATTCACGATACTCTTAATATAATGTAACAAAATTATTTTCCAAAATGTAATTGGCAATGGCAATTAATCTTACGATATTTGCAGATAGTGTAAACCATAATTGATCAAGTCGATTACTAAACAAACAAAAATGTATCTTTCTTCGTTATTAAACGTAAAAATGTATCCCAGGTATGGTACTCCCCTTGAGCCGGTCAGCTTTACGAAGCTGGTTTACCTGCTCTGCGTGGTTTGCCGGCTACTGCGTAGGGCGGTGGGTTTTCTCAGGTCCGCGATGCTGTCCTGATACCGTTCTCGTCCGGCCTATGGGCTGAGAGGCGTTGCGGTGTCCGGTGTCCGACCCGAAGGGTTGTAGGATAGAGGTTTCCCATCGTACCAAAAAAAAAAAATAAAAAAAAAATGGAGAAGCGTAAGCAACAAATCCATTTAATTACCATTTTTTTAAGGGAAAGAAGATATCGAACCTTAAAATTATTTAAAAAAGAAAAAGAGGATTTCTCATATTCTTATCCCCTTGTCAAAGGCAGAGCCAAATATAAATATTATATATATATATATATATATATATATATATATATATATATATGTGTGTGTGTGTGTATATATAGAGTAACTTCTGTCGGTCGCTATATCATATATTTTGGCAAATATTTTGTAATTCTTTGAGATGATTTCGTGTTTTATTCGTACAAGTTTTCCCTACGCTAACCAATAAAATCATCCTTTACAACTCGTAGACGTATAAATCCAAAAGAAACGCATCTCATTATTTACTATTTTTTTTACCATATCATTTTATCTTCGGTTTTCTTATATATATATATATATATTAATAGACAAAAACTAAAATGAGAGCAACTGTAATTACTGCCATCCTTGAAAAATAACGTAACGTATATATTATTTGGAGTGTGATAATTTGAAAAGCAGGAGGATTAATTGGGCAAGTGGGTTTGATTGGTTGCCTTACTCATATTTTTGGTGCTTCTACGCCAAACCAATCGTCATTTTTTTTCACTTGCCACATTATTATTATTATTATTATTATTATTATTATTATTATTTATTTTATATTATGTGCGTATGATATAGTTTGGTTTTAAGCAACTGTATTTAGATAAGATAAAGCGACGTAACTGTATTCAGTTAAATAGTTAGGCTTTTAGTGGCTTTGCATCTAACTATAGCTTTTCCCCACATCCCAAATATTTGACGTATTAAATGAAATTGAAATTTATGTATTTTGTATAATTAATGCCATTAGTTATACGTCTTATGTGGGAATTTGAATGATCGGTCGACTTTGCCATTTTCACAAGCAATAGAATGAGAGAATATGTTACTGGCCTTCTCTTTCTCCTTTTGTTACTTCTTCCCTTTAACTAAAAACGTTTTCTTTACGCTTACATTGTGTTTTTTTTTTCTTGTCAGATATTACTTTCCATCGTTCCATGTTATAAACATACACATATATATATATATATATATTATATACACACACATAATGTTCTGAAGAACTCAATGATGTTTGTGAGGGCTTTTTTGAAGAAAATAACCTCACATAAATATCATATGTAATATTCAATCCATGTTTATGTTTGAGTTTCTATCCAATAACCGACGTTATAATATTATATTATATTTATAGAAAAAATATAACAAAATATCGTAGATTCATCTCGTGAAAATGTTGTTGCTTGTTGGTAACTTCTCACGTGTAATCATCGTACCCGCACATGTCGCACTTGGAAGAAAACGTTGGGTAAACTTTCTATCAGAGAATTAAAACCAAATAGATACATGCGAGTGTACGGGCTTCATGTCCACGTTAAAAAAAAAATATTCATTATGTTTCTTCTCGACATCTTGAGATTTATTGCGAACAACGTGAGGGTGTTTGGTCTAGTGGTATGATTCTCGCTTCGGGTGCGAGAGGTCCCGAGTTCGATTCTCGGAACACCCCCATTTTCCACCTTTTTGCCATAGGGACATCTCTCTCTCGTTTTGCTGCCTTCAATGCCAATCAAGCAAACATTAACACAATTTATGCATTATATCGTGCGTTAGATATGTATGTATACATTCCAATCCCAGATAAGAAAAATGGTGGCATTCGCTTGCTCAAAGATTTACATTCTCTGCTCAGTTCTATAAGTGACCCTGAAGGAAGATCTTACCATTTCACAAGTTTGTTATGTCTGGTTGTTTTTTGCTGCCTTCAAGGCCAAAAGCGCAGCTCCATAGGCTGCCTCAGTGTGGACAGCTTTGCTAACAGGTAAACCAAGAACCCGCCTCCTTATCTCTGTCCACTTCTCGTTCTTCGCTCCCCCTCCCGCTGTAAACACCTCTTCCGCCTCCGTCGCTCCCAGCTCTTTCAGTAGCCCATAGCCCTTACCCTGTTTAACCCGTTCATCGATTACACATACTTATGAGCCGGGTAAGCAATACACGAGGTAATAGATTTAAACACTCGACTCCAATCTCCCTAAAAATTTGATGGAAAACACTCATTCCCTTCCATATTCGTGTAAATCTCCGGTCTTTAATCCACATGGGCATGGCCATAGGAGAGGCACCTATAAAATGTTTGTGCTTCACTCCATCATGTTCTAACAAGTTCAGCATTTTTATCATCAGGGCCCAATTGTATGTCAGCAACATGTTTGGAACATATGAAGCGTAAGATGATGGCTCGTACCTCAATACGTGCAATCGATTCCAAGATACCATGCAAGTACTCGACATCGCTTTCTGGGCGAGGATGCAACCTGCAAAATGTAAATGGGTCTTTATGTGAATCTACCTATGTCATTTCACACATCTTTAGAGAAGCCTGACATAAAGCTTTCTTAGAGGCATGGTGAGTACTTTCAGAAATCATAATATACATATAAACTATGTTATGGTATCACTTAGTGTGATCAAGGGAAGGTGAACTAGCCAGTTTCCATACAACCATCGTACAATTTCTCTCTAAAATTCGACATTTACTAGAAAGTGGACAGAAACAACCAAGAGAGAATGAGGGAAAACCAATCAAACCTGGGAGCCAAGTTGGGATCAGCCACCGGGAATCTTTCACCGGCCCTCTGAAGAGGGTAGTAATCCAGAGGAGACGCCACCATGGGATCGATTTCTCGGCTCAGTCTCTCTAACTTCTCGTCGCTGAAAAGCTGTCTGAGAACGGCTCCGCCAGTGTTGGAAGCTCCTCCAACGAGCCACTTGTCATCCAGACGGTGGCTGTAAACTCCGTACCTAGCGTCCTCGACCCTTTTGGTGCTCAGGAGCTTGATGGCTAAGGTTGAGCCCAGAGAAGTAACCTTTGAAAAAAAAATTATTACAAAGAAACGCTCATGATGGATATTTAGCATGCTAATGAAACGATGAGAAGATAAGGCACAGAGACTGAGCCAGAATCTTGGTTGTATATACAGACTCAAAAAGTGGTGAAGAATGCTTACCGCTTTCCCGGGATTTGTAGCGCGTGCCGCGAGAAAAGCAGCTATGCTATCGGTAGTTCCAGTGCAAACAATGCAATCGTCTGGGAATCCTGGTTAAAAGAAAGAAGATAACAAATCTACGGTGTCCCATTACAGAGTCATATATTTCCTTTAGTGGAAAGAAAAATTTACCAAATTGGTTTCTAATGTCTGCTTTCAGATAGCCAATTGAAGTTCCAGGCGCTTGAACGGCAGGCAAGAGACGAGAATAAGGCTGGGAGAGCAGCCACGATGGATATGATTCACTTTCAGGATCATAACCAACCTGCCCCGGAGGCAAAAGTAAAGGGGGAAAAGTACTTCTGTTAGGAAGTCATATGTAATCATGCCTTCCCATTTCCCCACATTTCTCTACATTCCTTCTTTCTCTACATGGACTCGATATAACTCATGTGAATACATTGGATATCTTCATCATGAAATCGATATTATCTTAAAAGAAATGAAAAAAATAAGCCTGGTCTATATACATCTGCAAGAATGCCTCACACATTGTTACCTTTAAGGCATTGTTGTAGTCTGAGATGCCGAGTCTGCCATGAAGTAGCCACAGCAACCAATCTGCCTGATGCAACAGTATAGATGATTCCTTGTCCGGGACATCGGTGTTCCACCATGAAACGAGTTTGCACAAGGTCGAGGAACCAGAGCAGACTGTGTGGTTTGCTGGTGCTATAGATTTTACCTCGGGCAAAGCATCAGGGCAACTCTCATCGTATAGAAAAGGCTGGCACAGAGGTTCTCCACTATCACTGCAAGACATAATTGAATAAATGAAGGGTTAAAAAACAATGCAGAAGGATAATAGAAGATTCAGTACAAGATCAAAAATTCGAGAAGGAGAAGAATAGATGGCACCGGGAATCAACATGAAAAATTCCTATTATGTGGAAGTACCATACCCAAATAGAGTAGCCTACTTTCTCTGCTTGTGTGTGATCAGAAAGGGAGGCAGAGAGATAACAAGGGGAGCATTTAAGATTTTCAAAGATGTACAAAACCTTCAAAGAAAATAACATCTTACTCTCCAATAGAAGACACACCTAAACTACTGTGCCAGTGATGCATAATAGGCAGAGAAAGTGGATGCGCCAAGAAAAGAAAACTGATATAACAAAGAAAAAACAAGGAAAGAAGAAGAAGAAGAATCTAAGACAGGATCGAGGAGATCTTGAGGCAAGCTCAACACATATTGTTGCAGCAATAGGTAAGAGTATAACAAGGCATTGGAATTTTTCACCCAAAAAAAAAACAAGGCATTGGAAGTGTACCTAATAAGGAACGAGCCCAATACCCGATACAGGAACAGTATCCAAACTTAACCAGAAAAGGATTGAAATTTAATAAAGAATAAACCCCTAGGAGGGTAAGAAGCAACAAGCAAATGATAGGAGTCAGAGAAATTGGTCAGCACAGGAGAAAACGTCACATACATAATCACGGGTATGATGAGAATAAGTACCTGTCTAGGATTAATGTTGTCGCTGAAGTCCCATCCAGCGAAATGGATGAGATGAGAGACCGAGTGCTAATTGGAATATCATCGAGCAGTGAAAAAAGAGTTGCTTTCCATGAGCTTGTCCAGTCCACGCTCTCGTCCCTCTTTCTAGATGGCAGAAACAAGTGCATCAATCATAAAAATCATGGTTCCTATGATCTTCCTCGATATTGTTCATAATGAAGCATAGACCTCATTCCATAGAAGTAAAACAACAAATTGTGAGTGGATATTAAGGGATAAGGATCAAGTCACAAAAAAATCGGATTGATCGATCGATTTCTTTATGAGAATAAAACAATTGGAAGTGTAAACATGGAATCGTCCGGAAAAAAAAAAAGATCATTCTTAATCAGCAAGGTTACTGAACTGTTGGGAGAGCTATCTATGTCTTGGTAAAACCTTCTTCCGACACAAGCAACTAATAGACACATTCCTACCAAGAACTACTCATGACACAATCAACCAGCAACTTAACTGGTTCGGCAATAATGCCATAATTCGTCGGAAAAAAAAACAGAAGGGCGAGATTTTACCATGAAATTGGGATATTCTCTCTTCCCTTCTCCTCGAACCCCTCCTTGGTCATCGATAACAGAAAACCTAGTCCCAGATGTACCAAAATCCATACCTAAATACAGCCTTTCTCCTCGAGTTCCGCCATTGCCGCTCATGTCAACCATGGCCCCGTCACTGGGGCTTTTGCCCACATTCGAGCGAAACCCAGTTCTCCGCCGTGGGTAACCCCTTGAATTAGAAAACCCTGATGAACAGATTATGATTAAGCAGCAAAATACTTGCAGAATTCAAGGGAAACTCGGAAAACCAAATCCCGAAACTCGTCAGTGTACAGAATCTTAAAACATATGTAAACAGTTCACCTGGTTTTGGATGATTTACCTGATAGCTTTGGAGATGGAAAGAGGTAAAACGAAGAGACGTGAAATTGGCTCCCCACCGGCATCTCTCTCTCTCTCTCTCTCTCTCTCTCTCTCTCTCTCTCTCTCCGCACCTAGTTTCTTCCCACGTCCATGGATAAGGAGCTTTACGTCTAATTTAAACCACTGTTTAGCTTGGTTTTTTTTTCCAGCCCAAACAGAAAGAAGTATATATTTATTTAATTTATACTAATAACTGTTTTATTTTTTTCACGATATTATTCATAATTAATTTCACCTAACGGCTTTGGATGTGATCAGACGGTCCAGAATATCCCGCGCTTTTTATTTTGGACCGATGATGAATTGGTCGGCCCAGTTTCAATGGGACTTCAAGAACCCGTTACCTAAACGTGGGTCTACACAGAAATTCGATAACATTAACGCCGTTAATGTAACGGCGTGTGTTACAAAAATTCCCGTTGAATATGATTTGCCGTTTCGTTTGGCGTCAATGCAAATCGTAAGAATAGGTTAATAGTTTTTTTTTTGTTGTATATAATAAGATTGAATGTTCTGACCAAATTATTTTATACACAATCAATAGATACACTCGAATATATCTCTTTCACCTAAAAAGGATAGTACGTAAAAAATAAAAGTTACACGGAAATTCACTGCGTTCTGTAATAATTAACAATAATATCTAACACTGTCTAGTAAAAGTTTCGCAGTCGTGCATTTGATGATGGACCGACCACTTGCTTATCCATTGTTGCTTAGGTTAAAAGCATCGACTATATTCACGTGTGTCGGAGTCGACGTCCAATTATTGGCCGTTGCTTGCTGCTTGCTATTTAAATTTTGTTTCACAAAACACAAATATTCCATATGCTACTGGTCGAGCACTATGTCGTCAAACTTAAATATTATATATAACTATATGAAAACTGAATTAAATCCTATAATTTATCTTTAACTATGGGATTGAACGCATTTACACACGAGAACCCTAATTCATATAAATTATTTAAAAAAAACAGTATTTTATTATGATCACTGACCAGTAAGAATAATAAAGCAGGATTAAAAAGTAAAAACGTAAAATTTACGTTTTAACCTTGCGACAAAAGACCGTAAAAAACAACGTTAGGGTAGACTGATAAAAATAATTCCAATTTAAAGAGGGTAAAAGGAGGAAATTACCGTTTCTGATTCCCACTGTTATTCCCGCTCGTTCCTTGAAATTTATATTTTCGAATTTTTATTTGTTGGCTGGTGCGCGTTTTTTTTTGGCCATTTAACGATGTTTGAAGCTAGCGGACAGTTGTAGGGTAAAATCACCCAAATAACCCAATTTGGTCACATCTATTTCAGTGTATACCAATGAAATTTTTTTTTTTTTCAATTTTAACCCACTTTTCGGTTGGAAAAATCCGAAATACCCTTTTCGTTTTATTTTTTGCGACCTTATTACGACTAACATATAACTGATATACAACTAAAAATAAGACAGATAATTTTTTACCACTAAAAAGAATCAATTGTAACTATATTTAGACTTAATTACGAAGTCGTAATAACGAAGTTGTTTTTGAACGGATAAATATCGTAATTCATTAAGGGTAATTTCGTCTTTTCGTAGGAAAAAAAAATGTGTTATGTTTTGGGTGGTGTACAGGTGAAATAGATGCGACCCAATGGGTTATTTGGGTAAAAAAACCCAGTTGTAGGACGAGCCACGTCAGCTCACGGTAAAAATTAAATTAATTTAAGGGTAATTAACTAGATAATTTTATTCCCCAAAATTAATTTTCAACCAGCCCAACTAAATGAATGTGTTTTTATTTTTCTTGTTTTGAAATGAAAAATGAAGCCAACAAACAAAAAATTTCAAAATCAGGAAAATCAAATTTCAGCATCCTCGTCTCTTCACCGGGTGAAATCTCTCCATTGGCTCTCTCTCTCTCCCTCTCCCTCTCTGCAGCACTTTCGCTTGAAGAAGACGAAACAATCTCTCTCTCGTCTCTCTATCTCTTTCCACCTCGTAGGAGAGAGAGAGAGAGAGAGAGCACAATGCCTTTTGTGTCTCCGACCATGTGAGCTTCTACTGACGATTTCTCTCCATCTTCTTCGCCGGTTTTCAGAAGTTTTGCTTGATTCTTCTTCTCCTCCTACTCCTCCTTTGATCGGCGAGAGAATTCTCGAGTTCAACGAGTTGACTGAGTTCCGGTAGACGGATGGCCTCATCGTCATCCAGGGCGAGAAGCAGTTCACCGTTCTCGCACCGGAGACCGCCGAGCCCCTACTCGTCGGCATCTTCGTCTTCTTCGCATTACACGAGCAACCGTCTCATTCCGCGCTCGTGCTCTACCTCTGCTTCTTCGTTCTTAACCTCCGGTGGCGGAATCGCATCCCGATCTATGACGCCTAGTCATAGTCGCTCCAACTCGGCGTACCTCGGCGCTGGGGGCAGCGGAGATCCATCAGCTCTCCCTTACCCGTCGGACGAGCTGCTTGGCGAGCCTATGGAGACTACTAGTTCTGAGCGCGATAGCATTTCCGTCACTGTTCGGTTTCGGCCAATGAGGTATGGTAGATCTGCGCGTGGTGGACCAGATCTAATGAAGATAGTGCCGTGATTCTTCTGGTTTAGGGTTTGCAATAGATGCAATGCGTGCGGAGACTCGGTCAATTTTCTGTGGGATTTCACAATTTCGCTTGTTTCTTGTTTGGTTACAGTGAAAGAGAGTATCAAAGAGGAGATGAGGCTGTTTGGTATCCTGATGGGGATAAGACTGTCAGGCACGAACACAATCCAGTCACAGCTTATGCATTTGGTATCAGCTTCATCTCAGCTTGGATGATTATATTCCGGAGATCGCTTTCATATTTCCAAAGAGGCAAATGTTTATTGATTAGAGTCTTGTTGGATCTTACTGATGGGATGTATTTTCTTTTGAATTTGTTGATGCCAGATAAAGTTTTTGGACCACAAGCAACCACTCCAGAGGTATATGAGGTAGCTGCAAAACCTGTAGTCAAGGCAGCTATGGAAGGTGTAAATGGTAAGGAATATAGTTCAGAACCAGTAAACCAGATTTTTGCTTCTCATAGAAGTACTCTGCGATTAACATCTTTTCTGGTGACATTTTGTCCAACGGAGTCTCCTCACACAGTTTTCGCAACCTGACAGGAACTGTTTTTGCTTATGGTGTTACAAGCAGTGGAAAAACACATACAATGCATGTAAGTATTTTCTGTGTGGATCCTCTGATTTGCTCTGCCAGGTGTTTCCTTGAGATATGTGTACTATTAATCACGGACTTCATTGCCATCTGGCCATTCTTAGATACCTGGTGATAGTTCTGCATTGCTTGAATGAGTACGGGGGCAGGGAATAATACCATTCAAAGAATGAGTGGCTTTAATGTTGGTTGGCCATGCTTGAATCGAAAGGAAATCAAGAAGTTCTGGGTTTTTTTACTTACAAGATTGGGAAGATTTATACATGTAATTAAATCATAGTTTTGAATTTACCATCATTTCCCTTGCTGTATGGACAGGGAGATCAAAACTCTCCTGGGATCATACCATTGGCAATAAAGGATGTATTCAGCCTTATCCAAGATGTAAGTTTCTTTGCATCCAAGATTTTATTTTACTACCTGAGTTTTGTCACTTTTGTGCATTGAACTTCGACATTTTATATTATTGTCCATGTGTGCTATAATGCTTTCACTTGTGGATGTTTTTTACTTGCTTTGTCATTTCGCTCTGCTCAATTGGTTGTTATGCATGGACCCCATGGCTTGAGTACCTTTTATGATGGAATCCATAACAGGCATAGATTTTTCCCTTTTAAAATTGTTTATGAGAATAACCTTCACTTCCATTATGGAAGCCGTTCGTCTTTCTTTCGAGTGCCCTTTTGCATATTGTCATGTCTACTAGTTGCTTATGTCACAGTCATTCTATATTTCAGACTCCAGGAAGAGAGTTCCTCCTCCGTGTTTCGTATCTTGAAATATATAATGAGGTATGTGGGATTTCTCACCGTGATTCCTCATTTATGGTATTTCACTTGAAACTGACTTTAAATGATGGCCTGGAGGTAAACTGACTTTAAATAACTATCATCGAGTGCTAAGCCATTTTACAGTGGAAAATTGACGATAACTTATCATCTCCTAGGTTTTAGATACATGCAAGATTATATGTTTTATCTGTCTGCTAATTGTCTGATGCTTGTCCTTCCTGTGTCAGGTTATAAATGATTTGCTTGATCCAACCGGCCAAAATTTACGTGTGAGAGAGGATTCTCAGGTTTGTCTTAACCACTTCCGAATGCTTGGCTTGGCTCTATCCATCTCATTTCCTTCTCACATGGACACAAACACCTGACTATATCATTTTTGGTCTGAGTAGGAAAAAAGAGAAAAAAAGTTAATTTCCGTCTTTATCAGATCAGACAGTGTTGATTTTTCTCCTACAATAAGTACATTGATAAAAACAAAATCCTAAAAAGAAATTGATTCAATTTGCATTCATTCTGTTGTATGTTTATCTTGTTTTAATCTAGACTGTAATACCACCTCCAGGGCACTTATGTTGAGGGTATCAAGGAGGAAGTTGTTTTATCTCCTGGACATGCGTTATCTTTCATTGCAGCTGGGGAAGGTAACTGGAATTACTAGCTTTTGCAGCATTTCTGTGTTTTCCTATTTCCTTCCTTCTTCTGATTCTCAATGCTTTTGTGGTTTCAATGGCAGAGCATCGCCATGTTGGTTCAAATAACTTCAATCTGTTGAGCAGCAGAAGTCACACTATATTTACGATGGTTTGCCTTTCTATCTCCACTCTCCAGAACTTCTAATATTTTAACTTAGAATTTTCTCTACTGTCTTTTAAAAATCCTTCTTTCGCCTCTGTTGCTATTTGTTCTCAATTCTAAATTGTTCATTTGCTTGCAGATGATTGAAAGCAGTGCTCATGGAGATGAATATGACGGGGTTATTTTTTCTCAGCTTGTAAGGGGTTCTTTTTTTTGTTATGGCTGAGTAAGATTATTCTTGTTCTATAGACAGCTCTCATGTTTTCCCTTTCTTGTTTAGAATTTGATTGACTTAGCTGGATCCGAAAGTTCCAAAACTGAAACAACTGGGCTGAGGAGAAAGGAGGGTTCGTACATCAACAAAAGTCTTCTAACTCTTGGAACTGTAGGTCACCATTTTCAGTTTTATCTATCTTTCCATTTGTCAGATGCTTGCTGTTTCTACTGCAATGATAAATGTCAATCAGAAGTTCAGTACTGTCTAATGCAATAATTTCTTACAAGTGCAATTCCGTTTAGAGCCATATCCATTTAGGTGGCATTAGAGGATCAGAAAGGAATTTACAGTTGCTGATGGAATAGAGTTTATGATCATCACTAATTTTCTTATCTTATGCGTTGATTTGATCATGCTAGTGTGTCTTGGTTATCAATGCCTATATTTACTGAGAAGTATCTGTTGTCTTTCTGCTTCTTTCATCATTGAGGACAACATCTTTAGCTATGTTCACACTCATATTTATTTTCAGGACATTTGAGTTGTAATTCTCTTATGGTAGGTGATTGGAAAATTGAGTGAGGGCAAGGCAACTCACATTCCATATCGCGACTCTAAGCTTACACGTCTTCTGCAATCTTCATTGAGCGGACATGGGCATGTGTCGGTACGAATCTTTACTATCTTGTGATACATGTGATTTGATTGGCTAAAGAAACCATAGTTATTTTCTCGATGTTGTGTGGTGTGATGGTTTACATTGGCGGTATTTAGATGCACACTGACCTTAATGCAATGATGCGAATGACTAACTTTTGTTTTCTATTTCCTTATATTTATAGCTCATATGTACAGTTACTCCCGCTTCAAGCAGTATGGAAGAAACTCATAATACATTGAAGTTTGCCAGTAGGGCAAAGAGGGTGGAAATTTATGCTTCACGTAATAAGGTGATCTGTTAGATTTTACAGTGAAGTAATTTTTGTACAGTCAGCATATATTTGAAGCACAATTACATATTGCTTTTGCTTGTACTGTGGTAATACAGATTGTAGATGAAAAATCATTGATAAAGAAATATCAGAGAGAAATCTCAAGTCTCAAACTAGAACTTGATCAGCTAAGAAGTGGTATGCTGGCTGGGGTCAGTCATGAAGAGATAATGGTCTTAAGGCAGCAGGTTTTAATCTCTCCCAAGATCTTGTTATTACCCGGTATAAGGATTTGTTCCTACTCCAGTGAATGAATTGACCTATCAATTTATTTCAACAGTTGGAGGAAGGTCAAGTGAAAATGCAGTCAAGATTAGAGGAAGAAGAAGAAGCCAAAGCAGCTCTGATGAGCAGAATCCAAAAGCTTACGAAACTTATACTTGTCTCCACCAAGAATTCTTTTCCTGGATGTTCGGGCGAGGTACCCAGTCACCAGCGCAGTCATTCTGCCGGTAAAGATGATGTAAGTTTTCTATTTGGTAAAGTGACCTAAATGATAAATCTTGGCATCCTTGTGTGGTATAATAGTTTTAGTTATTTCTATATGTTGTGAGATGGCCTATGTGGAGGATCTCTGATACTATAGGATAAAGTTGAATATGTTTTGGCTTTGTTTGTTAGACCATGTTCCTTCTTTTTGGTTTAAATCTTCTCGAGTTCCTTTTTTCTGCGGATGTAATGTAGTTTTGATTCCTTATTTGACATGCCATTTCAAACCGCAATCACTCATGTGGTCTTCTTTTTTCCTTTCAGAAGTTAGATTCTCTGCTATTGGATAATGAAAATAGTGCATCTCCATCAACGGCCTTGGCTCTTCCATCGGATGCTTCTTTTGATCATAAATCCCGGCAATCTTCCAGCACTTTGAATGAAGAATACTATCCAGTTGGTTCTGGTAAAGCATTAGCTAAAGTGAGTAACTTGCTGGATATTAGGGATCATGATGCGTTTGTTTTACAGTTGTCTCAATGTTTGTGTCTTGAACCCCGTGGAATATGAAGATGATAAACATTTACATGTACACTCTTTTTTAATTTATTGTGAACATTACATCCACCAGCACTCTTGTCCTATTTTATTTAATCAATTCAGTTGATTTTTTCTAGATTTCTGTGAAAAATGGCACCTGATAGTTATGATTTTGCAGGGTGGCATTACATCTGATGAAATGGACCTCCTAGTTGAGCAGGTTAAGATGCTCGCGGGTGAGATAGCATTCAGCACGAGCACACTAAAGCGATTGGTGGATCAGTCTGTAAATGATCCTGAAAATTCACAAACCCAAGTAAGTACCATTCCTTCGATTTCTTAAACTCATTGTGTTAGTGTTGCGCTCTAGTCAATATCTACCTTGAGCAATGCATGTCAAGACTCAGTGATTGTTTCAAAGTATTTTCTGCTTCTATTTTATTTATGGTTCAGCTTAATCTGGATAAAATTCTCATGCGCAGATCCAGAACTTGGAACGAGAGATCCAAGAAAAACAAAGACAAATGAGGGTCTTGGAACAGCGCACAATTGAAAGTGGTGAAGCTTCAATTGCTAGTGCAACACTGGTTGAGATGCAACAGGTATCATCGTGATACTTTACCTCTTATGGTGATTTAATTTGAAGTTCGGTAGAACTGAACCTAAATCAGGAAATGCAACATTGACATGTTATCTTGGTGGTTACAGAAAGTTCTGGCATTGATGACCCAGTGCAATGAGAAGAGCTTTGAGCTGGAGGTAAAAGTTATAATTTTTGTGGAAGGAAACATCTTGTTTTCTTTAACCAAATTGGAATATTTCTCAGATTCATCATTTGACTAATCTGGCTCTACCTCTGGCAGATCAACTCTGCAGATAATCACATTCTCCAGGATCAACTACAGAAAAAGGTGGGTATCTCATTTACCCTCTATAATTTCGTTCAATTCATGCATCTCTTTTTTCTCACCTCATTCATTTTTACTCCATTGTCCTTTGGAATTTTCTTAATGCTACATGAACTTTACCTACTGGAAAATCTTGTTTATATGCATGCCAATAATAATGCAGTGTGCTGAGAACGATGAATTGCAAGAGAAGGTTAACCTTCTAGAGCAACGGTTAAGTGTACTATCCAGTGAGAAATCCTCACCATCATCTTCTGGAAACGCTGTATCTGATGAGTATGTAGACGAGCTGAGAAAGAAAATACAGACTCAGGTGATTTTCTTGTAACTGATGCCCCTTCAAATCTACAAACTTAGTCTCAAGAGTATGAAAACACAAATCCCTGCAAAGTTGAACAGGCATGCAATATATCTGTTCGGGCAAGCAAGCATGATATTTATATTTACACTGACCTTCTCTCTGTACTTGCATCAATGTTTACTATTGATGAATTAGGAGATTGAGAACGAGAAATTGAAGATAGAGCATGTACAGCTTGTGGAGGAGAACAGTGGGTTACGAGTGCGAAACCAAAAACTAGCAGAAGAAGCTTCATATGCTAAGGAACTGGCTTCTGCTGCTGCTGTTGAGCTGAAGAATTTGGCCAGTGAAGTAACAAAGCTTTCGCTGCTAAATTCAAAGCTAGAAAAAGAAGTAGCAGCTGCTAGAGAGCTGGCTCACTCACGAAACACTGTTAATGTTGCAAACCGCAAGCATAACGATGGAACGAGACCTGGGAGAAAGGCAAGGCTGTCGGGTCGGTCCACTGAAATAAATGGACTGGTTGGAGATGACTTTAACTCGTGGAACCTCGATCCAGAAGATATGAAAGTTGAGTTGCAGGCGAGAAAACAACGGGAGGCAGCCCTTGAGACTGCATTGGCGGAGAAAGAGTTAATAGAAGATGAGTATAAGAAAAAGGTGGAAGAAGCAAAGAGAAGAGAGGAGGTTCTGGAAAATGATTTGGCTAACATGTGGGTACTTGTTGCCAAGTTGAAGAAAGATGGTGGTGCCTTGCCAGAGCTGAATACTGATGAGAGACAGCCGAACGGTATAGACCCAGTTAAAGAAGCTAAGGCCAAAGAATTAGAGAACAGTTATAGCAACATGGTCTTGAAAGAGAGACCAGTGTCAGATGCATCCGGAGAAGTTGTAGTCAAGACCAACGAGGCACCGAAAGAGGACCCCCTTGTTGCTCGTTTAAAGGTGATGTTCGCTAGCAGTTAAGGTGCCCACATACATACATACGTACACAACATGACATGCGTATGCATATTTATTATTAGGGAGAAGCAAGAGAGATTATTCCCTATATTTTCCCATCTGAAACATTTTTCCATAAAATGAAGTGCAGGCACGGATGCAAGAGATGAAGGAGAAAGAGCTCAAATCCCATGGAAATGGGGAAGCAAACTCTCATATCTGTAAAGTCTGTTTTGAGTCGCCGACTGCAGCGATTCTACTCCCATGCCGGCATTTCTGCCGTGAGTAATCTTCCACGATCAACTCCTTCACATATTATCTGATTACTAATTACTATGAACAACTGAATATTTGGCTAATTTCTAATTTCTTTAACAGTTTGTAAATCTTGTTCACTCGCGTGTTCCGAGTGCCCGGTTTGCCGCACGAAGATATCAGATCGGTTGGTCACATTCCCGGCTTAAGCACTCAATCATTGCCCTCTTCAACTAAAGGTGATTTCTCTGTCTGAAACTATTTTGGAATCTGGATCTTAGCAATCACTGTTTTATCCAATTACGTAAAGAGAGAATTTCAAAGAAGCGTCTTGAGAAGTGAACGATCATGGAACTGCTGCAGGGTGACGTACTGTGGTATGGTCAGCCTGTTGCTATTTTCCGTACGGGCAGATTCGTTATTCTTTTCATTACTTGTTTCGGCATTTGTATGTATTTTGTTGTCTTGTTATTAAAATTCCAAAGGGGAAAAAGAAGTATATATATATATATACATGGACAGTAGTTCCTCTCTCCACCCTATATTTTCCCGTCGTAAAAAAAAACAAAAGGGGAAAGTATAAAGGTGGATTTTTAGGAAACAAGTGTTCGTTTCTTTTCCGCAGGGGGGACTCCTACAAAGCGTTACAAAATGATAAGGAAAAAGAAAAGATCCCGTTGTGTTTTATGTCTATTTTCCAATGAGATTTCATAGAGGAAAATAAACTCTGGATGGTGTGGAACTTAGAACTAGAATATATTACCTTTGTGGTATTTCCATTCTTAGATCTGCATTTAATGTGTTTTAATTCCATGATTATGGAGAGAGAGTGTGACATTGTCCAACTCCACAGCTCTCTACTCATAGCATGTGTCAGTACATAAAGTGGTCCTGATTTATTTGGTTTTGCGGCTAAAGTCATATCCATAAATTATTTGATTGGAAAAGGATCTCACCATCTCCTTTTTCTTTCCCT